TTAGACTTGTGATATTACACTGTCTTATTCTATGAACCCAACTATATACCACACTGATGTATATTAATGATGCAATTACGATGCGATATATTGCCTTATGAGTTATGTCAAACATTACAATGTTATACTATTAATTATACTACATGTTATAAACCATACCATTGACCATGGTGTGAGAAGTATTAAGAGGCAGTGCCAGCAAAATGGCTGCGGTCTGAAAGTCACCGTAAAATACAATCAATGGTTACTAAGCCAGAATCCATCTTCTAGGTTGAAATTGTATCTGTGCTTGTATATGTGGATGGCCTCATGAACGAATCTCTCATGGTAGCCGGTTGGCTTGCAAAGAACCTCCATCTTGGAGAAGGCAATGTCATCTGAGCCCATTGAATTATAAGAGTGATCTGCCACGGCAGAGGAGTTCGTCCTACCGTGTTTCAAGTCTGCTTTATGTTCGCGGATGCGGTCCGAGATATGTCATTTGGTTTCTCCAATGTAGCTGCTACCACAGAGGCACTTTAGTTTATAAATGCCCGGGTACTGTATGTCTGGAACCGCATCCTTTACAGATGGAACCAGATCACGGATTTTATGTACTGTGTTGAATCAAACCTGGATCTTGTGTTTATTCAGGATTTTGGAGGTCTTTTTTGTGACCCCCGCAATGTAGGGTAAGGTGATGGTTTTGAATGGCTCCTCAAGAGGATCCTTCTTCATGACTGGAGTGATGGCTTTGCGGATTGTGTAGTCTGAGTAACCATTAGCCTTGAGAGCTTGGTGTACGTGCTTGAGTTCACTGGCAATGTGATCCTGGTCGGAAATGCATTGGGCTCTATGGCATAGAGTCTTGATGAGGGAGTTCTTCTGGGATGGATGGTGGTGGGAATCCGGTTTCAAGTAAGCATCTGTATGGGTAGCTTTCCTGTAGACAGAGTGGCTCAATGAACCATCATGTCTCTTTTTAATTAAGACATCCAAAAAGGGTAGCTTGCCATCTTTTTCGACCTCCATGGTAAATCTGATGGCTGGGTGTATGGAATTGATGTGGTCGAGGAATTTGTCTAGAGCAGGTCAGCCATGTGGCCAGATGACAAAGGTGTCATCCACATACCTCTTCCACAGGGTCGGGCGTAGAGTGGCAGTCTGGATGGCGTCAGTTTCAAATTTTTCCATGAACACGTTGGCTACAACTGGAGATAGGGGGGATCCCATTGGGGTGCCATCAGTCTGTTTGTAGAAAGTTCCATTCCAGGTGAAGTATGTGTTGGTTAAGCAATGTCTCACAAGGGGGGGTACCTCCGTATGCAGTCCTTGATGAACCAAGTCTTCAATGATTCCGATGGTGTCAGGTACTGGAACTTTGGTGAACAAGGACACCACATCAAAACTGACAAGCAGGTCGTCTGGGGACAGGGAAATGCCTTTGATTGTCGATACCAGGTGAGTAGAGTTTAGTACCACAGAGGTGGTTTTTCCAGTGAAAGGTTGCAGGATATATATTCCCATTCTACGTGACTTTACCGAAAGAACCAAGAAGATGAATCCTTGCAGTCACGAAAGCTTTAAATCGAAATTCAACTTCAAGAAGTTATGGTGTTTCCTAGCCCATGCGAGCACAGGGCTGCGCTCATCTCGGTTTACGGCCCTTATCGAGTGGTATACAATTTCACGTTCCCGTTTCATCACGCAGGGGCCAATCACTCGAAAGTGCATCCACCGTTGTCGATGCGAGTGGAAAGTTTCCACAGAGTGGTACAATTTTTTTTAATCAACTGGAGGAATGAGCGGACGGGCTTTGTCAACCTCGACCAGGACTGCCACTCGTGATGTGAGGGGAGTGCTCCAAGAAGACTCGTTCACACTTGCTACATGCGGCGCACACTGTACTCCTTTCTCTGACTGTCATGGGCAGAGCGAGGTATTGATAGGGTCACATGAGTGCAAAGTTGGCACACACACACTTAAGAAACTTCCATTTATAAAGTGAGCGCAGGATAAAAAGCAACTTGTCCCCAATAAAGTGGTTTTCTCGGCTATGGAAGGTCATTCAAATGCTTTAGTTAGCTGTTAAGATTACAACTCTCATGATCCGTTTTAATCGATTAATTGAGAGTATTGCTCATGCTGCAACAAATGATGAAACTAAACTCAACATTTTACAGCGATTTGGGCAATGCCTCCCTCTTACAGGAGTTCCTTCTCTGCTCCCCATCTCTTCCCCCACGTATCTATTGAATTTATTCATGATTTATTTCAACCAGCAAAAAGCCTGTGAGTTTCAAGACCTCCAATTTAGATGTCGTTGAAACGGAGGAGTTCTGCGTATTTTCTCCCGCGGTGCATCGAATTGCTGGCCTCGAGACGGGGTGTGGTTTTTAGGAGTTGACAAGGGGCCCACCGGGCCACGCAATTCACCGCGGGTAGGGGTTTTCACGATTCGAATCCAGCAGCCGCCCTCCTCGGTCGTCACTCCGAGCGTCGTAGTGTGTGCAGAAATGCTTGCCGTCCACTTCACAGCGGATGCTTAAAGATCCCCGTGGCGTCTTTCGCAGGGGGTGTAGACCATTTTTTTGCCGGCGTTGTGGTCCAAATTTGGAAAAAAGCCACCGCGAATCAATCAATCGATCGTAGCATCCATCGGGGTCCAACTGCAATCGGAACATGTCCTGAAAAAGAGTAATGAGACGCAATGTTCCCTTCCTGGGTAATAATAATGTACGTATGTATGTTGAACTTCTTTCACACCATACGTAGCCAGCCATGCAAATCGGAGGTGTGGAGGAAGGACAGCAAACTTAACGCAAAAAACAGTTTTTAAGAAATTGGTTTTCAATTTAGATTTGAAAATGCATAGCTCCAGTGACGTCTTAATAAGCTCCAGTGGCTTTGTAATAGATAATAATGCGCTTTGCACAACTCTGCGATGGGAATAGGCCAGCGTTTATTTTGATAACGCTTCCCCGTGGGGATGTGGTGCTGTGTGTGATGCCCCTCTCTGAGTGATGTGGTGCGTGAGTCACTCCAGGCAGCACTCTGACTGTTAAGGATAAACACCGTATTTCCATTGTCTGATATGCGGGGAACACCTTTGATGATTTAAAATATTTTAATTGTCAGAGACTACCCATAATTTCAGAGAATGAATTAATAAAATGTGCAATATCGCTCTTTTAATATCTATGGGTCTGGTTGCAACGTTGTCATAGGTGTTCAATTCGCAATCAATAAAGTTAGTACCACCTTGTGCAAAGTCATCCATGGAAGCCGGTCTCCTGCCATGTAATTTGGTGAATTTCCACCTTTGGCTCATGTCTGCCGATGCATTGTGTGAGCATCCCTGGCCACGCTTTCCCCACTGCCACGTGGATGCTTGGGAGTTTGGTCTCGAGAACATCCTTCCCCACCGACCGCGTGGCCTCCGTGCGAATGGGAACTGGCACGAGGTGCTCCCGATGTGCTTGGAGCGTCGACGCAGCCCAGATGGAAATCTGTGTTTTGATTCCTGGCAGTCCGTGACTAAACTGGTTTCTCAAGTGAAGTGTGTTTGTGGTCTCGGTTGGGTTGCTTTTTATAGCTCATCGTATTCCTCCAGCATCGATAATGATTCTGATTGCGACTCTTTTTGCGGAGGACACGAGAGGTCACATGATGGAGCGGCAGGGTGGCGCAGTTTTAACGCAGGGGTGAGGCTCGCTCGTGGCTCACAGCAAGAAGGGGGCCTTCATTCGATTCCCTTCTCGGGCGCCTTCCAACGTGGAGTTTGTATGTTCTACCTTTCTTCTGCAAGGGTTTTCTCCGAGTTCTCTGGTTTCCTCCCATAGCTAAACAAAAACATTCAACACAATTGCTATTGGCCAAATATCTCAATCACTTAAAAAAAATCCTGAAAATTACTCAATTGGAATCACCCATGGCAACATCACTTCCTGCTGCGAAAACTTGGTACACTTCTGAAAATTAGTCTTGAGACTTTGTGAGGCTTTTCCTGGATGAATAAGCACAATAATAATAAAATAAACAATGTCTGCTAAGTGCAAATAAGAAAACTGTTGAGGTGACCTTTAGAAGCAGTTCTCTGATGTCAACTTCTGCAGGCTCTTCTCTAAACGTGTGATATTATACTGCTCCCCTGCGAGTCTCATTTCATCTCTAACATAGCACGAGACGTGTAAAAAAACGTCATTTATACGACAGTCGGTTATAGCTCTTGAGTGATTTCCTTCCTACAACGTTGACCGGTGGCTTGTTTTTAAAGGAACGATCCAGGCGTGTATAATATTAATCTTTTTCTTGGCTGACGTAGATGCAGAGAAACTACAATTTCACATTATAGTGGTTAAGCCAGATAACCATTATAGTAATGATGAGCTATCTTTGATCTTTGGCCTTTGACATAGTTAAAAAAACATGCATGAATCGCTTGGCCATGCCCATCGCAATGAGTGGAGTGGACCCCCCCCCCCCCTGTGTGGACAAAGTGGGCATTGCACCCGATGTAAACTGGCTGGGTTGGGGAGGGCCCAGCCTGACTTAACTTGATCTCACTCGTGCTGGAAGCTTCATGAGCGGCTGTGTTGTTGGTGCCACCGTCTTGTTAGGATATAAGTGTGAGAAACATTTGTTAACGAATACAATATTAAACGAGCTGACCATCCTCTCTGCGCGCCTGCCCAGGTGGGGGGTGATAGTGTAGCGATTGGTGCACTATGCTACGAACCCGCCGACTCAAGTTAGATTTTTGCTCATGGCCAACACCGGCGACGATTATCTGAATCTGTCCTGGGCCTCCCCTAGATCGACTCGGCCTCAAATTGGTACCTGGTGCGGTGTGTAGTAAACATTGCCGCTTGGGAGACAATGGTGGCCAGGTGTGGTGCCGGTCACGCACCACCTTGTGTGCCGTGCCGGCCTTCATAGGTGCTCGCTAACAGCACTTGCCCCATCAGTGTGTTAAGGCTATACGGAGGGGGGGATCTTTGTCTCTGTCTGTGTGTGTCCAGGTGGCGGCAGACAAGGTGACGGACAAGCTGTCTGCCACGCTCTCATGGGTGAGGCAGACGGTGACGCAGACGGTGACGGCGACCGGGGCGACCCCCTCGGTCCCCTCGGCGCCGCATGCCGGGCCCCGACCGCACGGGAGCGAGCGTAACGGCGCAGCAGCGGCGAGGGGGGGGGCGCTCTCCGCCGAGGACGAGGAGCTCCTCTCCAAGCTGGAGGAACAGAACAAGTAGGGGGGGGTGGGGGGTGCACGGCGGCGGCGCGTGTCCGTCCACCCGCGTTCACCGGGCACGCGTGTCGCTCGGCCAGTTGGTCGTGGCACCAAAACAAAAAGCGCAACAAAGAACCCCCATTGCTTGACTGGGGTCGATAAAAAGCTGCGTGTGCCGTGGTGCACCGTGGTGTTCTGTGGTATTCCATAGCGTCCTGCGGTGTGCCACGTGTCTGTGGTGTGGCACATGTGTTCCGTGGTGGTTTTGTGCTGTGATAATTCGTGGTGTGCCGGTGTGGGCAGGCTGCTGCAGGCGGTATCGAGTGGCCCGACGGGGCCCGGCGAGGCGGCGCGGCCCAGCGAGGAGGAGCTGTGGGCCGTGTGGGGCGGCCTCGTGTCCGAGTGGCAGGAGTCGCGCTGCCACAAGGATCAGCGCGTCAAGGTGCCCCTCCGTCCCCTCCCTCCACTCCCCTGTGTTCTTGTAGAAATGTTGTGTTTGCGTGCACGTATACACGTGCGTTTGTGTGTCCTTATGAGCGTGTCATTTTGTGTGTGTCCGTAAGTGTCATGTATATTTGCCAGTGTGGGCGCCATGGTGGTGAGATGTTAACTCCCTCGCCTGGTATGCAGGAGGTCGTGGGATCAATCCTGACCCTGACGCCTGTCTATTTGCAGTTTGCATGTCTCTCTCCCTGTGGTCGCGTGGATTTTTCTCTGGGTCCTCCGGTTTTTACCTCCATATTTTGAAACGTGCGTTAAGAGTATTTGTCTGCTATAAATTTCCACATGGTAAGTCGCTTCGTTGAGCTATCATTTGTGATAGGCAGGTTGCTTCTGAAAAAGAGCTATTTAGCTCAGTGGGCCTTACCTGGTAAAATAAAACAAATTTAGTTCATATTTGAACTGTGTTTGTTTCGTTTGTGTTTATGCGTGTGGTTATGTCTCTGGATAAATTCGAAGTGTGTGTGTATCCATGTATGTGTGTGATTCATGTAGGATCTTGTCCGGGAAGGAATTCCGCACCATTTCAGAGGAATCGTCTGGCAGCTCCTGTGCGATGCCCAAAATGTCGCTGAAAAGGGTAAAATCCTCTCCACCGATGACCCATCCTCCCTGTTCATTGGCACCATTTCCCAACCTCGGAAGGTGTCTCTCGGCAGCTGAGGGACACCAGTCGTCGGCACGTTCACCACTGCGCCAGTCTGCAAGGGAGTTGACGGTTATTTTACAACAGGCAACTCGTAAATTATGCAGTGTAAAGTGGACCTTGGAGATGCTGCGACATATATATCACAGGAACGGGTGATTGTGCTTTGGGTTTTAGATTCATTTACAAATTATCCCTTTCCCGTTCCGAGATGTCGGCAAGTTGCATGGTGGGGCCCCGTTCACCGCTGAACCTCTGAACACTTAATCATTCATAATAAACGTTTTTGGGTTAGATCGCGTTGTTTATAAATGTGTTGTAACCCTCCACCACCCGACACAGCCAATCAGAAAAAAAGTTTCACGTTGACAAAAGACAAATAGGTCACTACTTTAGCCCACCGGTGTGTTGAAGAGTGAATCCACAACATTTACAATTTTTGAGTACGAAGTTTCGCTGGTAATTACATCCAGCATCATCGGGCAATTCGCCAGAAAGCCTACGTGTTAAACACTTAATAAGTTAGCATGAATTTTATTTCAAGACATTGTGCTCGCCACTGAGAACTGTCGCAACACGACTGCACTCTGATGATAGCTGGTGCCAAACTGTGCCACACGCACTCCCGCATGGCCTTGTTGGGGAGCCTCGGTACCAATAGTTATTTTAGTTTTTCTTGCGATTCGTGCAGGTACCTACACGTACGTCATCGGAACGGAATAGGGAAAAACTCAAATGGGCAAGGGTAAAAAAAAAATCCCCAGAAATACGTTTTTTTTTGCAAATGTTTAAATACAGAGCGTTTAAATTATTCTGAACTGTGTCAGCAGCAGGTCGTGGGGTTATAACGGTAAATAAACAGCTTGCGCTTATTTTCCGATCCCCGGAATAAACTGATTGCAGTTGCCATTGCGCGTCGTCGCTTTAAGATGTTTCTCTGTTCATATTTCGTTTGTTGCGGTTGCACCCTGCTCAAGAGCCGCATGGCTCACAGGGCTCTATACCTAATAAATGAAACCTGAAACCTGGACCAAGCGAAACCCTGGGCCGGATTCAATTTCCCCAAGTGTCATGAGCAGGGTCATGGCCTGTGCATGTCACTGAGTAGAAAAATCTCTTTTTTTTTTTAAACCTTTTGAGATGTCTTTATCTGGGGAGGGTCTTTTGGTGAATGGATTGATCAAGTGTTAATCTATTTTGTCAATGAAACCAAACACCTCGTTTCTTGATTTTACTTACTTCAAGAAACGGACACCGTTGGACATGATAATGACTCCATTTAGCCCAACATTCTATCATAAGAGTGGATTGACAAAGACCTTGTAATTAATAATGCATTGGCTGGGTCATGTAGCCCGCATACCCAACCACCGCATGACCAAGCAGCTTCTGTTTGGCTGGATAGAGGGGGCTAAATGGGCACGGCACGGGCTGGAGAAGAGATGGACTGATGCGGTACGGGAGGATGTGGAGCTGAGTGGGCTTGCCGAAGACTGATACCAGCGGTGTCAAGATCGGCCTCTATGGAGGAGGCTCGTGAAGGATGCTGCTACTGATTCTAGATTTGAAGCTTTCGCGAATGCAAGGATTTGTACTCTTTGGTTTTATTTGGTAAAGTCACGTAGGTAAAATCAAATGACATAAAAGAAAACAAATAAAAGACAACAATTGAATCACGACGTTTCGGAGGCAACACAAGCTTCCGTCTTCAGGTGGAACAGTCACAGCAGAATATGTGTGTCAGGTGCACAGCTCTGAGACGATCGGGTTTATATATAGGTTAAGGGGGGGGGGAGGAGCCAGAAAGGAACGTGGGTGGGTGGGCTGAGTTAAGCCGTTTTTGAAAACGAAAGAAGCAGCTAAAGTTTGGCATACCACCACTGAAAATTGCTGTACAATTAAAAGGTAGCTAACGTTTGACTTGATTTATAACATCTTTCCAATGGTTGCTTAATTTGAAACCATCCTCTCGGTTGAAGTTGTGTCTGTGTTTGTATATCTGGATGGCCTCGTGGACAAATCTCTGGTAATAACCGGGAGGTTTGCAGAGTACCTTGGTATCGGAGAAAACAATATGAAAACAATATGATATTGTTTTCTCCGATACCAATTGTACAGCAATTTTCAGTGGTGGTATGCCAAACTTTAGCAGCTTCTTTCGTTTTCAAAAACGGCTTAACTCAGCCCTCCCACCCACCCACGTTCCTTTCCGGCTCCTCCCCCCCCCCCCTTAACCTATATATAAACCCGATCGTCTCAGAGCTGTGCACTTGACACAGATATTCTGCTGTGAATGTTCTACCTGAAGACGGAAGCTTGTGTTGCCTCCGAAACGTCGTGATTCAATTGTTTTCTTTTATTTGTTTTCTTTTATATTATTTTATTTTACTTACGTGACTTTACCGAATAAAACCAAAGAGTATGCTGCTACTGGGCAGCTGGTAGCAGTCGCCCTCCAACGACAATGGAGGGCAGAGTAGCAATTCTCACAATGAGCAGAGCGCCCAGCGACTAAAATGGAGCAAATTGGCACAGTAGGGGGCACAGCTGGGTGCATCTGCCAGTCATCTCAGTCGGTCAACCCATAGCACCTGGGTCTGTCCCGTGGCCTCGTGTTAGTGAGCCTTCGGCACTTCACGTGCCCTCAGTGCACCTGGCCTGGCACAGGAAGTTGGTATTGTAGTTTCCATAGTTCCATACTTCACACTACAAAAGCCTTGTCTGGGCAGGTAGCATTTCATTTTAGATCACGAGACTTCCATTCTGGGAGTTCCCACCACTCGCTCAGGGCCACCACTGGGGGATGGGAGTGCCAGGCGATTGCTCCAATCAAGCACGGAAACACTGATATTGACACAAGAATTATTAATAAACTTGTGCTCATTCACAGCCAAACCTGTAGGTGCGTGTTCAATGTTCGGTAGATATGTTCTTCTGATTTTGGGATCAGCCTGAAAAATTGGCTCCTGATATATTCATCTAATTGGCCTATCCAAATGACTTCACTGGAGATGACGTCACCTCCACCGAGAGTAACGACACTTGGCATCGGGTAACGTCACGATTGTTAGCACAGAGGCACGCTAGCAAGTCCATCACCCGTGCTTAGTATGCAGTACGTGCAGAATGTGTATTTTCATGTCACGTGTGTTCGACAGATCAGTACAGTGAGCTCCTGAAGATGGCTTCTCCGTCGGAAAAGCTGATCCGGCGAGACTTGGCACGGACCTACCCAGAGCACGTGCTGTTCCGACAGCCGGACGGGCCCGGCCAGGAGGGGCTCTTCAACGTCATGAAGGTGCCCGCGGGAGTGGGGGGTGGGCACAGGAAGGGGGGAGCAAAGATACCCCGTGTAGCCTTAACAGACTGTTGGGGCAAGTGCTGTTAGCGAGCATCTATGAAGGTCAGCACGGCACACGAGGAGGTGGGTGGCCAGCACCACGCCCAGCCGCCTTTGTCACCCTAATGGCGATGTTTACACACCGCACCAGGTATTTATTTGAGGCCGAGTCGACCTAGGTGAGGCCCAGGACCGGTTTAGGTAATCGTCACTGGTGTTGGCCGTGAGCGGGAATCGAACTCGGGCTGCAGGTTTCGTAGCGCAGCGCACTAACAACTACACGAGGGACCGCATACACTGGCACACGCGAGGCCGAGGTGGCCGGGTAACTTGCGGGATGATTGCGTGGTCGGCCTGAGCCAGCACCACTGAGACCCCGCATTTACGATGCGGTGACACGCGGCCGTGATGGAGTGTCCGACTACAACGCGATAACGAAAACGTTTTTACAAGGGAAATGGTCAAAAGTGCAAATTAATTGTCATTAAAATCAAAACCATTGAGGGGGCCAAGTGGCTCAGAGCTCAGCGTGCACACAGCTGGCACCGCTGAGAACCTGGATTTGAATCCAGGCAGCCGCCTGTGATTAAACTAGGTTGTCAAGTGCAGCGAGTCTATGGGCGCAGCCTGGTTACCAATCAACTGCATAAAAAACCCATTTTAAAAATGTGTTCACTTTAGCTAAAATATTGATGGACATTTCTTTTTAGATCAGGGCGGCTGGGACAGTGCGGCCTCCTTGTGTGGATAAGATGTTGCCTGGCAATTTGTTGTTAGCAGTTCTGCGACATCACCTTCAGCAGACTGCTCTGCTCCATGATATGAAACCGTTTTCACAATTCGGATAAAGGTGTGAATTTTTTGTACGTATATTTATATGTATAAAATGAATATCGAATTCTCTTTCAAGAATGAATGAACCAATAATATGGCGCCATTGCCTCCTACACGCTAACCATCATGTACACATATCCTAATGTTCACAGCTTCCCGAGAGCAAATATGTGAGCAACAGCAATGAATACAAATTCTCAACGAGGCACCCGTACTACGATGGGCACAGTGCAACAGGATGATGTGGGGCAGTTCACGATCGCCACAGGAAGTAGCTGGCAGTGCCAGGGCAGCCTCTGGATGGGGGAGGAAGGAGAGGGAGGTAGGGGAGGGCTTGCGAGTGTCGCTGCTGGGTAGGTAGCGTTGGCAGCCTTCCCATAACAACTTGAGGTGGAAGAGCGATGCTAACGAGCAGAGCAACGTGCAAATTAAGTTGAGAGCAACTTAAAATTGATTAATTATTGTATCTCTTACCAAATTTTTAGACGTCCGACTAATAGAGCTTGATGACCTCTAAATCAAATAAAGGACATCGTGTGATTAAATTCTCACGGGACCAACGTTCGCGATAAATTATATGCTGTAATTCCGGAGTCTTGCTGCAAAATAGACTTGTTTCAATGGTCTGTCACTTGGTTATGAGTAGAGGGTATGTGTGTGTCTATGTGCTGTGCCAAGTTGGCACAGTGGGGAGCACAGCTGGTGCATCTTATAGTCATCTCAATCGGTTAACCCATGGCACCTGGGTGTGTCCCGTGACCTCTTGCCAGCATGCGAGCCTTCATCACTTGGCATCACGGCCTCAAAGTGCACCCAGCCTGGCACAGGCAATGCGACGACATCGCTGCTGCTTAGTGGCAAATGGTGGCTGTGTTTTCACGCCGTATCTGGCCGCACGTTCGCCTTTGCCCCTTTCGTGCTGTCTCGGCGCGCATGAAACGCACGGTGCCATTGTTGACGACCTTCACTCCCCGCAGTTCAAATGAGTGTTGCTGTGCGTGCGTGCCGTGTAGGCGTATTCGCTGGTGGACCGCGAGGTCGGATATTGCCAAGGCAGCGCCTTCATTGTCGGACTCCTCTTGATGCAGGTGAAATCCCCGCATGTACATACGCGCCAGCGCGCGAACCGCTTGCAACGCACGGCGCGGCCGACGCGATTCGGTATGGGTGCTTGTGGATGGACCTGGCAATGCGTATCATTTGCATACATTGAATACGATCAATTGCCATCCCGCGCAATTAGATGCATTTATCGTGAGCGATATAATCCGTCATCATTGATGAGTTCGGTGCACGGCGACGTGCGTGTCGTAAATCCCCTGCTCCCTCATTGACGACAATTTGGGGTCAACACCGCCTGCCTCGTGTTTAACAAGCAAGGAATTCTACGGCAAGGAGAGCGCAGTTGTCAATCTGAAGCAGTCCCCCACTGTCTGCAGTCGTCCATGGGTCTACAGCAGCGGTTCTTAACGTGGGGTGCACGCACCCCCCTGGGGGGTGTGAGAGTTGGCCAGATTTTTGGGGGAAGGCAAATCATCGAAACACAAATTCAGCACGGGCACGTCAGTACAACTGTTTCATGAAACCTATGTATTTATTAACATATTCATTTATTTTTTACTCTTGAGAACCAAAGGGGTGCACAGCTGCAGTCAAGGCTAAGAACCATTGCTCTACAGAAACTGGTCCACAGTTGTCCTTCACCGCATCGTCACTTCTACTGCTGCTGTCAGTTGGTCACATTTGCTCAAGTTTTCAGACAAGAGGACCACGTTTTCAGTTTTTCAGGAACCGCTGATAGTTTTGTTTTGCTGCATAATACTCGAAGGCCCGAGTGCTATTTGCACTTGTGCACCACTGGCAAGGCAGTGGGCATCATCACCAGATAATTGGTTACATGTGCAGCTCAACTTCCAATGTAACCCAAGGACCCAGCCCGTGGCCTGTTGCCAGTCTGCAGGTGCACACACTGATGACCATTTACCTTAACAGTTGACGAGGCCTGTTGGTGAGGAGGATGACGTGGGGGGGTGTGAGCGTTGAGCTCCGTGGCAATGTGTCCCCTCGCCCCCCGGCAGAAAGGCTGGTGTTTTCTCCCACATTGTCATAAGTGCCCATGATCCCGGGAGATGTATTCACAAAGGGTGATCGTAATTGATGATGTGGGATTGGATTGGGAGCCAGTGGAGTTTAACGGAAGTTAGGGGAGAGGTGGTCTCGTCTGTGGGTGAGGGCCTGAGGTCTGGTCAGCGGCATTCTGGACTGCATTGGCTACGTAACACAACAGATATAAAAGCTAGTGCATCGCTGTGTGACGTGGGTAATTGTATAAATAGAATATATTTTGCAGAGCGATTAATTAAAGTTTGTTTTATTTCTCTACATATACATTGTGCTTGCCTGATGTCTGTGTGAACTGGTGTCCCCTGTCCCCGTGTCCCTGTGTCCCTCCGTCTCCCTGTCCACATTCCCCCGCGTCCTCCGCATCCCACACTCGTCGCCCCCATAGATGCCGGAGGAGGAGGCTTTCTGCGTGTTCATCCGCCTCATGCACGACTACCGCCTGCGTGAGCTCTTCAAGCCCAGCATGGCCGAGCTGGGGCTGTGCATGTACCAGATCGAGAGCCTCATGCAGGTGAGGGCCTCGGGCGTGCGAGGGGACCCTGGGATGCTCCGTTGCACCGCCAGCAACTGGCGCATTGCTCCCATTTAGGTGCAGCCCTGCAAGTGCTCGATCGCGCCACTGCTAGCAGGGAGCTCGAGAGAGCCCCTCTGGAAGGTTTTTTTTGGCCTTCTCTTCCACGTTGGCCAGATATCTGGGAAGAGGTGGAAGTACCCGCACTTTACCCCACCATACAAGACCTGCCAGTCGACTAACTGTATTGCCTCCTTGCACATGGTTAATGTGCTTTCGTGTTTAACTGCGTTATGTAATTTGTTTTCGGTGATGTATCAGCATGGTGTTGTGTGTAATCATTATTTGTACGACGTTTTGTTACAAACTCGGCGACTTGTGAGTTGGATTCCTGGCCACAGCTAACATCGGTGGCCATTGGCACCTGAACCGATGCTGGGTCCCTTGCCTTCACCAACCCTCAATGATCAAGGTGATGAAGTATGGTCAAACAGCCCCCATCATCATCATGGTCTTGGGAGGCCGTCATCCAGGGGACTGTAGATAATTATTGTTCATTTGTACGCTCGGTAGTTAACTTTTTTGTGTTAATGTTGTACATCTTATGTTACTGACACGGTGTGTTTTTACACTGGCTGCTCTCCCCTGCAACACACACTTTGGTGTTGCAGTGGTCTGTTTGCCCGTGTATAAATAAACAAATAACCTCGAAAGTATTTTTATACCCAAACGGACGGATCCATTAGAAGGGCAGAAAGGTCATTGGAGAATGATTTTCGATAATCCATCCAAAGTGAATTCAAGCTCATTACACTCGCTGAAACCTCCATCCAAAGTGAATTCAAGCTCATTACACTTGCTGAAACCTCCATCCAAAGAGAATTCAAGCTCATTACACTCGCTGAAACCTCCATCCAAAGAGAATTCAAGCTCATTACACTCGCTGAATCCTCCATCCAAAGAGAATTCAAGCTCATTACACTCGCTGAATCCTCCATCCAAAGTTAATTCAAGCTCATTACACTCGCTGAAACCTCCATCCAAAGTGAATTCAAGCTCATTACACTCGCTGAATCCTCCATCCAAAGTTAATTCAAGCTCATTACACTCGCTGAAACCTCCATCCAAAGTGAATTCAAGCTCATTACACTCGCTGAAACCTCCATCCAAAGTGAATTCAAGCTCATTACACTCGCTGAAACCTCCATCCAAAGAGAATTCAAGCTCATTACACTCGCTGAAACCTCCATCCAAAGTGAATTCAAGCTCATTACACTCGCTGAAACCGGCCGCATATCATTAAACCCATTAGGATCAACTGGAGAAAAAAGCCTCACATTTTTTCTTCATACAGTTGTATAACTCTATTAAATTCGTTCCTTCCCATGACTTTAAACCACGTCAATTAATTTACAATTTGTAACCATAACATGGACAGCAAGGGATTAAGAGGGAGAGAGACTGTACCTGGGCCTGTAGATATTGTACAGTAGGATTACCGTTTGTACTAGTGAAGGGTATTAAATGTGACTGCATCTCAAGGCAGTGTACAAATACAGGACGTGGACGTATCAATGGGGCTTGAAAAAGAGGAGGGTTCTTAAAGATTCACATCGGAATGCACTGCTCCCGATCGTTACCCCTACCTCGTTAGGGTGGCGAGCTCGGACGCTCTCGATCGTTCTCTCATGTTGAAGGGTGCGTTACATTGAGCTTGTTCTAAGTCGTCTCTTGTCTTTGCAATTCCCACTGTATTCTGGGTTTGTTAATGGCGACAACAAATGCTTATGCAGTGGTACCTCGGTATACGTCGTTAATTCGTTCCAGAAGGTAGGAGGACTTGTACCGACAGTGACGTCTACCAAACGAATTTTTCCCACAAGAAATAAAGGGAATGGAAATAATCCGTTCCAGAGTATAAATTCCAAATGCATAAATAAGTTGAAATATATTGAAATAAAAATGAAATTTAACGTCACTCTACCTTGCTGAGAGGAGTTGACAGCCTACGAGGATGGTGGTGAGGAAGGGGAGGAGTCGTGAACGGGGTCTACGCAGGTACGAGGTGACTCATCCCGACCCATACAAGTTCTAGCAAGCGAGGCGTCGTATCCCAAGCAAGACGTCGTACCCCAAGACATTTTTTTCTCATCAAAACACGACGTGCACCAAATTCGACGTATTCCAAAGCGGTCGTATGCCGAAGTATGACTGTATATCAAAAATATATATGGCTGTGGGTTTGCACAGACGGGTTATGAACTGCTCTGTGCATGGACTGCATACGATTGTTAAACAAATAAAGTCTTCTTTGCTTAGTTTTAGGTAAGGACTTAAAACCTGCCTCAGAAGTTTGGCGGTCGAATGCGACAATGTTGTCTCAAGTGCAGTGTGATGGTGTTGTGGAAGAGGCATTGTACGTCACCGCGGAATAGCGCTTTGATGGAAGGCGTGATATGCATTTGATTTATTATTGTTATTAAACGTTAAATATTAATTCGGAAGGAAAAAACGATTCTCATCGGAGGGGAAGGAGAGCTGGTGGGAAGCTGCGGGGCAGAGAGGGAAAGGGGATGACGATGGTGTGGTGAGGTGCGAGTGAAGACGTTGCGGCCTTATAGAGGCAGAGGTGATCAAAGTTTTGAGCATGGACTTGAAAGCCTAAACACTCATCAATTGACCGATAACACCTTAATATATAGAGGACCGCAGAGCTTGGGGGGTGCAGGCTTTCCTGTGCGGTTGCTACCTTTCCGCTCTTCTGTGGTTGCTCGCGCCTCCGAATCGCTCTCCGTCTTCGAGAGCGAGCGACTACTGAGCGTCGGCGCGTTACAAGCTGAACATGTGATTACTGTTACATTAACAGGTGGACGGTCTCAACGGTGTGGACTAATTGTGTAATCCCGGCAGAGGTCGGTCCAGCCAGTCATTCTCCTCTCTCAGAAAAACATGTAGCACTTTGTGGGAGGTCAGTCGTAGTTTTCCTATGGATAAACTGGCCCCTGTCGTAGGAATGCCGAATTTCCATTGCTAGCTTGTATCCACTCGTGTGGATGAGCATTGCCCCATGCGCATTTGGATCGGGAAGACGTGTGACTCGTGCTTGACTTTGTTTTGCGTTGGTTCCAGAAGAGCCTTTCAGAGAGCTAAATCGTGTATATGGGTGTGCAGGATCAGCTGTCGCAGCTGCACGCACACCTGAGCACTCACAGTGTGCACACCTCCATGTTCGCGTCTCCCTGGTTCCTCACCGTGTTCCTCACCACCTTCCCGCTGCCGCTCGCCGCTCGCATCTTCGACTGGTTCATGTGCGAGGTGGGGCCCGCGCACAGCAATCGCACTCACTTGCAAAGACAAAGATTCCCCCTTGTACCCGTAGACTGTTGGGGCAAGTTCTGTTAGTGAGCGCCTAATGAAGGCCGGTACAGCACATGAAGGGGTGGGTGGTCAGCAAAACGGCCAGCCACCTTTTATTTTTCCAAAGTGCTGACATTTACACACCACATCTAGGGTATGCCCAGGATGGGTTCCGATATTTTCACCGATGTTGGTCGTGAGTGGGAATTGAAAACAGGTTATCGGGTTTATAGCACAGCGCACTAATCACTGCGCCTACGCGACCCACACACACGCATTTGAACTTACACTGACCCCCACACACACATACATACAGTCACATACATACGTGTAAATGGACACATGCACATACGTACATGGACATGCACAAATGTGCACTCGTGCATACATGCACCATCGCATGCCAATGCGCCCAAATGCTCACGCACTTGCTCAAGCAGATACACGCGTGGTCGTAAAGATTGTGTTGATGGTGATTGTATTGACATGTTGTTATGGTGCTGATAGTGATGCAGATGATAGTAGTAGCGGTGGTTATAAAGTGCTGGCTGGTGTGAGTCATGGTGATTTTTGTGGTGGTGGTGGTGGTGTTATTGAGTGTACGGGTGCGAGTGGTGGTGAATGAAGGGGACTTGGGAGCATGGCGGTATAGCTGTGGGAAGCTGCGAGTTGTATGGTACTATGGGCTTACCTCCCTATCAACGGGAGGCGAGGAATGGTGGTGGTTGCTTACGCCTCCATTGAAGATGAACATCGGTAGAGGGATGCAGGCAAGGCTGGTGATTCAGATGTTTTCTATGACCTCCTGTCACAGGTGTTAGCTAATGAGGCCCCTTGCGATAGAGTTATCCTGTTGGGTGACTGTAATGCCTGAGTGGGTCATGGTGCAGGCACCTGGGCTGGAGTGATTGGAATGTATTGGCCAGAGCAGCTCAATAACAACATTAGGAGGCTGCTAGATTCCTGTGCAGCCCATGTGCTTGTAATCACCAACACACTGCTCCCACATCGGCACATCCACACAACATCGAGGATGCACACCGGGTCCAAGCAAGAACATCTGCTGATCTATATAGTGACAGAACAGCGAATGCGGTCCCATGTCTTTGACACCAGGACCCACTGTGGAGTTTTATCTGGCCATTGACCATCGGCTTGTCACATACAAGATGCGCCTGCCATTCTTCCATTGCGGTGGAGGGCTCCACCTAGGATTCCATTAACACCCACTGTGACCTGGTTTCAGCTAACTAACGAAAGTTGCCAGTGAGAATTTCATCATCGCTTGCAGCTGGGGTTGGCATCATCTCACCCTCCTGATGCCAAGGGGAAATGGGTGAGCTGCAGTGAACCAATGATTATTCTGATTAGATGTACTAATGTCTGATATGACTGTTGTTCACAATTGCACCCAATTAAAAAAAGAGATTGAAGACTCGGGTTAATGGAGCTGTAATGGCCGGATTGGGTTCGCAGACCAGACCTCCCGAGAGACCCTGGCTGAAGGAGGACATGTTCTGGCTAGCTGAGAGAAATTGACAGGCCCACTCCCGTCATCTACAACATCCCACGTTTGAAAATTAGGAGGCTTACCGCAGCCTTCACTCAGAGATTCTGAGAGCTGTGTAGTGCTACAAGGATGAGTGGTGGTCGTGGGTTGCTGAGGAGATGGAATCTGCCTCAGTAGCCCCCGACCACAAATCACTATAACTGCATCAAAAAGTTATCTACAGCGCCACACCTATCGCCATCCTTAAGGGAAAGAACAGTGATCTAATCTCTGACCCATAGGAAGGTGTACGTGATGTGCGGAGCATTTGTGAGGTCTTCGGTTAGGGAAAGTCCCTCCACCCAAATAACGTCATGAGGCAAGGTGGGGACGACCCTGCTTGGGCTGCGGCGCCTCAATTATTGACAGAAATAGTCACCCCCTGTGAGTGGCTGGATGAGGTGCTGTCTATTGAGGAGGTACGAGGGCGATCTGGAGTCTGAGACCTGAAAAAGGGCTGTGCAGAGATGGTCTCCCAAGTGAACTGCTGAGGGAGGGTTGCGTCTGTGTGCAGACTGTGTCCTATATGACTTCACAACTTTCTGGACCACAGGATCGGTCCCATAGCATTGGAAGGATGCCATGGTGGTCCTCCTCTTTAAGAAGGGCGAATGTAGTCGTAACAACTACCAGGGCATCTCCTTCCTCAGTGTGCTGGGAAAGGTCCTGGCAAGGATTATTCAACATTGCCTTGCCAGGCATGCTGAGGAAAGGCTTACAGTGCCCCATTGTGGTTTCAGGCCTGGACCGGTCCTGCATGCATGCCATATCTAGGTAATTTGAATGCTTTGGGTTGTTCTTCATGCTTTCAGGGTCCCTGACTCACAATTATTAATGACCTTCATTATGGTGGGCAGGCCCGAGTAATGGTCGGGAGTCAGTAATTTCCTGTTCAAGTTGGGATGCGACGGGGATGTCATCTGGCTCCCACATTATCTTCCATCTTCTTCGACCACGTAGTTGTAGAAGCTTTCCATGGTTTTACCAGAGTAATTCATGTTTAGTACAGATACAATCGGAGGTTGATCGATGCCCGGATACGGTCAAGGAATGGCTCACTATTGGTCAACCACGTTATGTATGCTGATGATCTCGTAGTTGCTGCTTACTCAGAGGAGGAGTTGGCGAGGCGCTGCTGCTAGACCTGGAGCGTGCCACTAAGAGGTGGAATCTTGCCATCAGCTCCACCAAAATTAAGCACCGGCCTGGGTACTTTGTGTCATCCTTCAACCCCCCCCCCACCCCCACGAGTGATGGGGAAGTTGTGGTGAAGTTTCAATACCTGGGTGGTGTGGTTACACCAACTCCAGTTTGGCAGCAGAGGTTTCACACCGAATCAGCAGAGTGGCATCTTTTTGTCACAAGCTCCAGGTATTCTCATACAACATCTGCACCAGTTTAAAGCATTAAGACTGGTCTGCGTACAATCCATCCTGGGTATAACCAGACTGGAATTTGTGAAGAGCTCACAAATCCTTGAAAGATCTGGACATATTCCCATCGGTGAGCTCCGGCAGATAATGTTGCGTTGGCTGGGTCATGTAACCTGCATGCGTAGTCACTGCATGCGTAGTCACTGCATGCCTAGCCACTACATGCCCAAGCAGCTTCTATTTGGCCAGTTAGAGAGGGATAAATAGGAGTGGCACAGGCTGGAGAAGAGATGGACTGATGCGTTACAGGAGGATTTGGAGCTGAGTGGACTTTCCAAAGACTGATACCAGCGGTGCCAAGATCGGCCTCTGTGAAGGAGGTTTGTGAAAGACGTTACTGGGTAGTTTAAGGCAGTCACCTCCAGCAACAGCAGAGGGCAGATGAGTGACCCTCACAAATTTTAGCGTAGCACCAGGCGACTAAAATACAGTAAGTTGGCACAGTAGGGGGCACAGGTGGTGCATGTGCCAGTCATCTTCATAAATCCATGGCACCTGGCTCTGTCCCATGACCTCCTGTCAGTGAGCCTCCAACGCTTCATGTGGCCTCAGAGTGCACCTGGCCTGGCATAAGCACCGTGGTGAAGATACTGCCACTTATTGGCGCATGGTGGCTGTTGTTGGTGGTTATGGAATATATGCTTTTGCTTCTTTGGTTATGGAGTATATGCTGATGTGAGTGACCATGCTAATGTTGGTGGTGGTGTGGTTTTGTTGCAGGGCCTGGAGGTGATTTTCCGGGTGGGTGTCGCCATCCTCTCGGCTCTTCAGGATGAGCTGCTCGCACAGGACATGGAGGGCATGCTGCAGGTAGCACAGAAATCGAGTTCCTGGAGTTGGACAACCCTCAAACACTTCAGTGCCATTAACATTTTTTTAAACTTTGTTGATGCGTGTATGATAGATGGGATGGGGAAGGTTAGTGAAGCCGTCATTCAGCAGTGGATTGGCCATGTCTATGTAGACGCTATATTTTCAGTCTGAGTTAAGGACTCTCCTCCAGTATCCCGGCCCACAGCTACAGGAATGAGTGCTTCTAGTGTGGTGCTTCACATTCCCCTCCATTCCCCGGGCTACATAGACTGAGGTGGAGCAGCTAGCAGCATGCACAACGCGTCGTGACCAACACGCAGAGGATTGCTTAGGTTGACCCCTGCCCAGATTTGAATTTGCCGACCTCACGGTTGTTGAATCAAGTGCTCTAACCACATGAATCAGAAGCTGCCTTCTGAATATGATGGTACCTAAATAATTAGGATAGCGGTGGCAAGGGAAGCTAATTGGGCAGGGTTGAATTATGACCAGTTCGTACGTATGTTTATTTTTCATTTAATTATTTACCTCCATTATCTTCTCGGTTTGTTGGTGGCATCGTGTTATGAGACTTGGTGGGGAGCGGTGGTGTCGCGATTAACGCGCTGGTGTTCATGGCCAACACCAGTGACGATTATCTGAACCGGTCCTAGGCCTCCCCGAGGTCGACCTTGTGCGGTGCATAAATATCGCCACTAGGGAGACAAAGGCGGCTGGATGTGGTGCTGGCCACCCACCCCCTCCTGTGCCGTGCCTGCCTTGATAGGTGCTCGCGAACAGCACGTGCCCCAATAGTCTGTTGAAGGCTATACGGCGGATCTTTGTCACTGAGACCTAGAAATGTCATTTCAGAACTCCACAGCTGACAGAGCATTTCTTATCATGTGCAGACACCACCCTTGGAAAATAATGCCACCAAAATAACCCAGCCTTACAAGAGTAGCTGACGCTGCGTGCCAACTAACATCGGCCGTGGGGGGATGAAGGCAATCTCTTCCGCCGTACTGGCCATAACCGTCCCTTCGCGTGCCATGCCGATCTTAGCAAGGTGGTTGATAGGTAGCCCTATTTTTTACTGCGTGCAATTGTGAACAACAGCCATTGGACATTAATGCATAATCATTGGTTTACTGCAGCTCAAAGACTCACTCCTACAAGGCGTGCGGTGAAGTTAGGAGATGTCCATGTGCTCGGCATTTGAATGTCTGGAGACCAGAATCGGTGATTTCGCCTACAATGTGTTCAGGGAGGCGGTTCCATACCAGGCCAGCTGAGTGAATGTTCTGGCAACTGGGGTGGCATGGGCGTGACTTGGCAGGGTTGTGCATAATCACTTGCCTCTGAATTTTAAGGGGGGGGGGGGGGTGGCGATCTTTGTCTTTTGTGCGAGCAGCTTTTTCAGAAGGTGGTTCCACACCGATGGGACGGCTGTGCCGACAAGCTCATCGCCGCGGCCACGCAGGTCAAGTACAACCCAAAGCGCCTCAAGAAGTGAGCCTCCCAAGAGCGCGTGCACCGAACGTGCTCGCCAGAGCCAGCGCACGAGCGTAACGTGCTCGCCGGGACTGGCTCCTCTCTTAAAAGCCCTCAGCCTTCCTTGCTGGAGACGTGCGCGGCTGCTCCTGCCCCCTTGCCGCCTCTGTGCATTGGGGCTGCCTCCCCAAGTTACCCATCCGTTCCGTTTCGCACCTCCTCTCTGCAAAGGAAGCGATGGGCAGTAATTGCTGTGTCCGCCTGCGATGCCTGCATCCCAAAGAATTAAACTACACTGTATATATATTTGTGTTACTTTACTCCACTGCTCGTTGCTGTATTCTGCGATGTCACTTGCCCAGCATCTGCCACGTCCTCTTGGGCCTTCTTCCGGCGCCGTGCGCTGTGGCCTGTCGCCGCTCGAGCTAACGGTCGCTCGTGGAGTCGGCAGAAACCAGCACGTGTTCCCACGTGGACATGACAGCCTGGCACTTGCTTGCAGCCAGAATAGTTGCTCGCAGTCTTCACGAGAACCGGCAGCGCTAAGCTTTTCGCTCCAGAAAAGACCCGTAATGAGGTTCACCCGGAGCAGCCCAAGCTCCTGTGGGTGTGTGTGTGTGTTCACGGGGTTGGGGAACGGTAGTGCAACAGTTGGTGCACCGCACTACGAACCTGGCAACTCGAGGTTCAATTCCTGCTCATGGCCGACACCTGTTACGATTTTTGTAATCGGTCCTGGGACTCCCCAAGGGCGACTCTGCCTCAAATGAGTACCAGGTGCGATGTGTAAACATCACCACTGGGGAGACAAAGGCGTTCGGGTGTGGCGCTGGGCACCCACCCCCTCGTGTACCGTTCCGGCCTTCTTAGGTGTTACCCGCTAACAGCGCTTGCCCCAACAACCTGTTAAGGCTATACGGAGGATCTTTGTGTTCGTGGAAACCCCGCATGTTGGTGTGTTCCCGTGAGCCTGCCCGCGCACGGGCTGACGTGTACTCAAGGACACTGGTGATGTGAACGTTTTGCTCCCTGCTCTTTGTTGGCTGCCGTGAATTTTGTTGCTTCCATGCGGTAGGTACAGCCAAATAGTCGTGGCATTTAGAGGCAAGCTGGGTTGCTTGTTTTGTGCTGGGCCGTGTATGTGTGTGTGATGCCGTAGTGCGGTAGTTGACGGGCTGCACTACGAACCTGGCTACCCAAGTCCGATTCCCTCTCGCGACCAATAACAGCGGCTAATGTTTGACCTGGTCTTGGGCTTTCCCGAGGTCTACTCAGTCTTAAAAATGTCTATCTGGTGCGTTGTGTCAACTTGAGTACTGAGGAGATAAAGATGGCCGGGCGTGGTTTTGGGCCACCCACCCGCCTCGTGCCCCAGCAGTCTGTTAAGGCTGTCTTTGTTTTGTGTGTGCGTGTGTGGAACATGAAGGTTGGAAAAGGAATACATGGCTCTGAAAACGAAAGAGATGGAGGAACAGGTTGAAATCAAGGTAATGCACAGCCATTTGTACCCTTGAGGACTTTTCACTCACGCGGGTGCAAGCCACGAGGTGATGTGGTGCACCGCGTTGCTTTGTGACACAGCGTGGCCTGCAAAAACTGACATTACACAACTACTCGTGAATTCTCATAGGTTGTCTTGCAAAGGGTGTTTACTTGAAGGCCATTAAAGCCATTTTTTTTGCTTCACACCTGCAGTGCTTTATTTAAGTGACGGACCAAATTTAATGTGATCGGGTGTTTTTTGTTGTACAGGGGTGACTGAGCTGAGACGATCAACTCCCCTGCGCTTGAGAATCCAGTTGAAACTTAGGATCTCAGCGGTGCTGGCCCAGGGCTCTGACTCTGAGCCACACGGCCTCTTCCAGCCATGCAGTGTTCGAGTTTCTTTCAGCTGTCTCAGTCCGTCTGCCTCCCTCCCTCCCTGCCTCTCTCTCTGCCTCCCTCCCCCTGTTCCCACAGAAATTACGCACGGAGAATCGGCTGCTGAGGCAGAAAATAGACAACTTGGAGAAGGTAGCAGCATCGTCGCTCGCTCGCGCGCACACACACGCTATTATAACCTACACGTGCACAGGAGTTGCCGCACGTGAGTGAACCATCACAAACGTGCACAGGAAGGCACTGGGTGCAGCGTCAAGGGTGTCCGTCACCGCTGACTGGACGGGTTTTCTTCGACAGTTGTACTGGCTTCCAGTGCACTCCCGGATAGTGTATATACTCTGCATATGAATGCACACGTGAGGCGAAAATTGGCACTGTTTGGACACACGTGTAGGATATACAGTGATGGAAAAAAGTATTTGATCCCCTGCTGATTTTGTACGTTTGCCCACTGACAAAGAAATGATCAGTCTATAATTTTAATGGTAGGTTTATTTGAACAGTGAGAGACAGAATAACAACAAAATATCCAGACAAACGCATGTCAAAAATTTTATAAATTGATTTGCATTTTAATGAGGGAAATAAGTATTTGACCCCCTCAATCAGAGATTTCTGGCTCCCAGGTGTCTTTTATACAGGTAATGAGCTGAGATTAGGAACACACTCTTAAAGTGAGTGCTCCTAATCTCAGCTTGTTATCTGTATAAAAGACACCTGTCCACAGAATCAATCAGATTCCAAACTCTCCACCATGGCGAAGACCAAAGAGCTCTCCAAGGATGTAAGGGACAAGATTGTAAACCTACACAAGGCTGGAATGGGCTACAAGACCATTGCCAAGCAGCTTGGTGAGAAGGTGACAACAGTTGGTGCGATTATTCGCAAATGGAAGAAACACAAATGAACTGTCACTCTCCCTCGGCCTGGGGCTTCATGCAAGATCTCACCTCGTGGAGTTGCAATGATCATGAGAACGGTGAGGAATCAACCCAGAACTACACGGGAGGATCTTGTCAATGATCTCAAGGCAGCTGGGACCAAAGTCACAATTGGTAACACACTGCGCCATGAAGGACTGAAATCCTGCAGCGCCCGCAAGGTCCCCCTGCTCAAGAAAGCACATATACATACCCGTCTGAAGTTTTCCAATGAACATCTGAATGATTCAGAGGACAACTGGGTGAAAGTGTTGTGGTCAGATGAGACCAAAATGGAGCTCTGGCATCAACTCAACTCACCGTGTTTGGAGGAGGAATGCTGCCTATGACCCCAAGAACACCATCTCCACCGTCAGACATGGAGGTGGAAACATTATGCTTTGGGGGTGTTTTTCTGCTAAGGGGACAGGACAATTTCACCGCATCAAAGGGACGATGGACGGGGCCATGTACCGTAAAATCTTGGGTGAGAACCTCCTTCCCTCAGCCAGGGCATTGAATATGGGTCGTGGATGTGTATTCCAGCATGACAATGACCAAAAACACACGGCCAAGGCCACAAAGGAGTGGCTCAAGAAGAAGCACATTAAGGTCCTGGAGTGGCCTAGCCAGTCTCCAGACCTTAATCCCATAGAAAATCCGTGGAGGGGGCTGAAGGTTCGAGTTGCCAAACGTCAGCCTCAAAACCTTAATGACTTGGAGAAGATCTGCAAAGATGAGTCGGACAAAATCCCTCCTGAGATGTGTGCAAACCTGGTGGCCAACTCCAAGAAACGTCTGACCTCTGAGATTTCCAACAAGGGTTTTGCCACCAATTACTAAGTCATGTTTTACAGAGCGGTCAAATACTTATTTCCCTCATTAAAATACAAATCAATTTATAAGATTTTTGACATGCGTTTTTATGGATTTTGTTGTTGTTATTCTGTCTCTCACTGTTCAAATAAACCTACCATTAAAATTATAGACTGATCATTTATTCGTCAGTGGGCAAACGTACAAAATCAGCAGGGGATCAAATACTTTTTTTCCCTCACTGTACAACAAAAGAAATATGCAAAAGCGTGTTGTTTGAAAAAAAATCGAAAGAACCAGAGAGAGAGAGAGGAAGACCTACATAAGAATGGCTCGACGACGACATGAGAGAATCGGTGCCAGAAGGATGTGCCCACTACTTGAGAATATTGGCACAAGCCAGAGAGAAGTGGAAACAGATCACGACATGTGCAGTGGACACCTACGGGGCTATCTGCCCCATGGATCGTGATGATGATGATTATATTGCACATGGCCTGTGTAAACCAATGTTCAGTCTACTTGTCCAAAACAACTCTGAGCCATATCAGACCCTCGAATCACGGGCCGGTCTTCGCTCTGCAGACGGCGTTTAATAAACAAGTTTTGAGTTTGGGGAGCGCGCCTTCTCGTATGCTGGTCCTTAGGCTTGGATCTCGGCACACTTCGTGTAGATACAATTTCAAATATCGTTCGGAAACTTCCAAGATGTTATCTTTTCTACGTGGCTTTATTCGTGATTTAACTCCGATTGAATGCGAGGCCATGTGTTAAGTTGGCCGAACCAGCCCCCGAATTCATGGCTGATGTTTGACCTCCCCCCTCCCCCCCCCCGCCACAGGAGAGTGCAGCGCTGGCTGACAGGCTCATACAAGTACGTAAAAACATTTTTTAATTGAAAACTAATTTATTTGGAACTGCTTTTTGTGTTTAGTGTGTCCTTTCCCCACCTCCGATTACCACGGTTCACTATACTTTACATACACACGGTGTGGCACCTTGCTTGCTTAGTTGAGTGTATTTGGTTGTGCTTGAGGTGCGCTAAGCCTGGTCTGTTCGCGACGTGCGAGCGTCCATCGCTATTTTCCAACGAGCACATCCAGCTGTGCGTGTGACTGTACCCTGGTGCCGGCTGCATTCAATCATAAATGTGAATGCATTTTACGCGGCAGGTGTTTTCACAAATTATACATTTTCAATATTGTTTTGAAAAGGGTATCAGTCTGATGCTCAGAGGACATCTATGAAAAAGAGCGTCATAGGTCATCGGATTCCTCGAGTATAAATAAATATTGTGATAGATGTATCCATGGCCACCCCCACCCTTCTGGAACGCGGCCACCTGTCTCGCTGCACATTCGCCGCAGAGTTCAGTCCACCCGAATTTAAATGGAGACGCTCACAGACCTTGGCCTCTTGAAGGCCCCACCACCTGGCTTTCGGGTCAACACCGAGCTTGGCTCCGTACCTCAAGGGTTGTGGTCATCCATGTCCGTGAAATATTGTGCGCATGGCCAATTGTCTCAACCTTATTACTATGAATAAAACAAAATCTTATTTTTTTTTTATTCTGATGCCACTACAGGGTGCTATGTTGGTGCTGCAGGCTACGGAGCCTGGCTAACCAGCTACGGCGTAATCTACTTGTGTTGTGGGTTCCGTCTTTCTTTAATGACTGCTGCCCACATCGCTGTGCCCGCAAACCTTACATTGTTTCCAGCTTAGTGCCGTTCGCCTCCATTCCCCCCCTCTCTCTCTCTACTCTGACCCAGGGTCAGGTGACGCGGGCCCAGGAGGCAGAAGACAACATGCAGTTCCGCCGTGAGGTGGATTCTCTGCGCACCCACAATGCCACGGTGGCTGACAAGCTGGCGCAAGCGCACACCACCCTCCGACAGCTGCTCGCAGAGAAGGTAACGACCACCGCCGGGTGCCCTGCTCACTCGGTGGCCGCGTAATGGCCTTGTCGGGAGTACCGAGGTGACGCAAGACTACCGTCTGGGTTTCAGCCCGCTGTGATGACACCAGTTTAATTAGAGAGTCGCTGGTCTCGGCAAAGTCACCAGTTACTGCAAAAAAAAAAAACAAGAGTTTTTATACTGAATTCAGAATATTTCAAAACTGAGCCGTACAATCTTTGTAATTGCCATGTGATAAACATGCTTTGGAGGGCATATAACAGGGCTGGTGTTATCTCCCGGCCCTGAGCTATATATATATAAAGATGGCTACATGGTTTGGGGGGAGGCCTTCGTGTGCAGCAGTGGATACATTCTGGCCGGTGTTGGGCGCCGGTGAACGCGGCTGCGTTGACTGCACCGCGTGCCCCCTCTGCAGAGCTCGGGCGGCCGCTACTCAGAAGAGTTTGTGATTGGGCTCGAGCGGGAGCTCGTGATGGCTCGGCTCAAGGAGGCCGAGGCACAGTCTGCACTGCACGAAATGCAGGAGAAGGTCATCGGTATGGAGAAGGTGAGCCGGTGAGCGGTGTGTGTTTGCCCTGCCGCACCTCTTCTCCCACTCACCCCCCGACCTTGTGATTGTAGGAGGAGAAAGGAGGAGGAGATGGGTTCAAGGTGGGGATTGGCTTTGTGAGGTCAGGCACTGGCACGGCCTTCAGCGTGCAGCGCCTGCGATTTACATGGCAGGTCTGCTGCGAGCTTTGCTGTCCAAAGCTCCGAGGTATAACTCTTTGCAATGTGCGTTATCGCGCTGAGCGCTTGAGTTTCTCGGACTTCCTGTGCCCTGCAAAACATAGAAACCGTGTATTCGGTGAAGATAACAAAGCAACTTTGCCATCTGGCACCGATTGGATCTAACTGTGGTTCGTTGATGCATTGGCGCTTCCACTGGAACCTGCAAACCCCAATAATAAATGTAAAATTATAAAAGCAACAAAAAAACCCACGACTTTTCGATCGCAACACAGGCGGTCTTCATCAGGCGGAGAGAAAAGAGGGGGCAAGCCTCCAAGTGCAACTCCTTATATGGGTTTCCAAAGTGAGTGGGCGGGGGATGGGACTTGGGAGGTGGGCGAGGCTGTGCAGCGTAAACAGCACGGGCGGGGCAGCCAGTCGCAAGACGGCGACGTTGCCCATTGTCTCTCTCACGTTGCCCATTGTCTCTCTCGCGTTGCCCAGCTTGCACGTTGCCCATTGTCTCTCTCGCGTTGCTGTCTCTCTCACGTTGCCCGTTGTCTCTCTCACGTTGCCCGTTGTCTCTCTCACGTTGCCCATTGTCTCTCTCGCGTTGCCCATTGTCTCTCTCGCGTTGCCCATTGTCTCTCTCACGTTGCCCATTGTCTCTCTCACGTTGCCCATTGTCTCTCTCGCGTTGCCCATTGTCTCTCTCACGTTGCCCAGCTTACACGTTGCCCATTGTCTCTCTCGCGTTGCTGTCTCTCTCGCGTTGCCCATTGTCTCTCTCGCGTTGCCGTCTCTCTGACGTTGCCGTCTCTCTCACGTTGCCCATTGTCTCTCTCACGTTGCCCATTGTCTCTCTCGCGTTGCCGTCTCTCTCACGTTGCCCATTGTCTCTCCCGCGTTGCCCATTGTCTCTCTCACGTTGCCCATTGTCTCTCTCGCGTTGCCGTCTCTCTCACGTTGCCCATTGTCTCTCTCACGTTGCCCATTGTCTCTCTCGCGTTGCCGTCTCTCTCACGTTGCCCATTGTCTCTCTCACGTTGCCCATTGTCTCTCTCACGTTGCCCATTGTCTCTCTCGCGTTGCCCATTGTCTCTCTCACGTTGCCCATTGTCTCTCTCACGTTGCCGTCTCTCTCACGTTGCCGTCTCTCTCACGTTGCCGTCTCTCTCACGTTGCCCGTCTCTCTCACGTTGTCTCTCTCTCGCGTTGCCCATTGTCTCTCTCTCGCGTTGCCCATTGTCTCTCACGTTGCCCATTGTCTCTCTCACGTTGCCCATTGTCTCTCTCACGTTGCCCATTGTCTCTCTCACGTTGCCCATTGTCTCTCTCTCGCGTTGCCCATTGTCTCTCTCTCGCGTTGCCCATTGTCTCTCACGTTGCCCATTGTCTCTCTCACGTTGCCCATTGTCTCTCTCACGTTGCCCATTGTCTCTCTCACGTTGCCGTCTCTCTCACGTTGCCGTCTCTCTCACGTTGCCGTCTCTCTCACGTTGCCCGTCTCTCTCACGTTGCCCATTGACTCTCTCTCGCGTTGCCCATTGTCTCTCTCTCGCGTTGCCCGTCTCTCACGTTGCCCGTCTCTCTCGCGTTGCCCGTTTCTCGCGTTGCCCAGCTTGCACGTTTGCCCGCCCGCCTCTCACGTTGCCCATTGTCTCGCGCCCGCTCCCTCCGTCTCCCAGCGCTGTAGCTCCCTGCCGGACGAGAGCAACGTCGCGCGGCTGCAGGAGGAGCTCATCGCCGTGAAGATCCGCGAGGCGGAGGCGCTCACCTCGCTCAAGCAGCTGCACCAGCAGGTGCGCGATCTGGAGGACGCCTGGCAGGTGAGCACCCCGGGGGTCCGCAGAGGGGGTACGGGGAACCAGGGGGAGGGGGGGGGTTGGCAGGGAGGCGGATCAGAGGGGATACGTCACTTCGCTCGTTTGTGCAAGTAAACACTAAACCGTGTGCGCTGATGTTCCGTATGTGTGTAACACTTTATGTATGTATGTTGAATGTCTCTTTTGTACTGTACGTAGCCAACCGTGCTAATCGGAGGTGCGGGGGGAAGGACAATAAACTAAACAACAGAAAGCATTTCTAAAGAAATGAGTTTTCAATCTAGATTTAGAGGTGCATAGCTCCAGTGGCTTTCTAATCTCAGAAGGAAGAGCACTCCGCAGGAGCGCATCTGAAAGCGCGCGATGCAGTGACCGTCTTGAAATACGCGTAGTGTGTGTGCACGTCTTGGTATACAGGTCGACTCAGCCTTAAATGAGTAGCTCCTGCGGCTTGTTAAATGTCAGCACTGGGGAGATGAAGGCAGCTGGGCGTGGTGCTGGCCACCCACCCCCTCGTGTACCGTGCCGGCGGCCTTCATAGGTGCTCGCGAAGCAGCACTTGCCCCAACAGTCTGTCGGAGGCTATACGGGAGAGCTTTTGTCATAGCCTTTGTGTACAGATCAAAATATATATAGGGTACTTTCGTAATGTGTGCTGTACAGCACTGTAGCTGTGTCCACTGGTGCGAGGGTAGGTGGTGCTCCTCTCCTTCCACCCTCCCCCTATCGCACCTCCCCACAATGCCCTACCACTACTGACGTGCCTTAAACAAATTTACCACACTGTGGCAACTACTTGTGTTACACATCATGCACATGCCAACACGTTCGTGTGCATTATGCATTATATGTTACATATATAGCGAAATATAGATTATCTATTTTATGATTTTTTTGCATTTTCTATGCTTTTTAAATGGGGGTGTTTTTGTTTCCCGACCTTGTCCAGCTGCGTGTGAAATCTGGCTCACCGGGGTTCACTACTCTCTGCACGGTTGATTAACGTGTGGCTTAATAATAATGATGATAAAAATTAGACTTGTAACACGGCTACACACACAGCATTCGCTCGCTTTCGATGAGCGAGAGACCCCTAGAGAGAGAGAGAGAATGACTCGGGGGCGCGAAGAACCGCAGACAAGCGGGAATGTATGTACTTGACGTTGAACTTCACACCATACGTACCCCACCGTGCTAATCGGAGGCACGGAAAGCAGCAGTTGGGCATCAAACCCCCCGAAGCTCTGGTGTTATTCGCCAGTTAGTGTTTATACGTTCATACTGTATTCTGATTGGCGTGTGTGCCTGTGTATGCAACTGTGTGCTGCTGCCAGAGGCACGTGTCCCGCACGTCCGTGCGTGGGAAGTGTGCGCTGGGCGAGCTGCAGGCGGAGATCATGACGGTGCGGCTTCGCGAGGGGGACACCCGCGCACAGCTCTGTGAGACCAAGCACCGCGTACTGGAGTTACAGACACAGGTGTGTGTGTGTGTGTCTGTCTGTCTGCCTGCATGCGTGTCTGTCTTGGTTTGGGAGAGCGATGATGTAGCGGTTAGCGCACTGTGCTTCGAACCCGGCGATCCGAGTTCGATCCCCGCTCACGGCTAACACCAGGTGAGCATTATTTGAACCGGTCCTGGGTCTCCCCTAGGTCGAATCGGCATCAAATGAGTACCTGGTGCGGTGTGTAAACATCGCCACTAGGGAGACAGAGGTGGTCGGGCGTGGTGCTGGCCACCCACCTCCTCATGTACCATGCCGGCCTTCATAGGTGCTCGCTAACAGCACTTGCCCCAACAGTCTATATGGGGGATCTTTGTCTTTTTGTGTGTCTGGGTAAGCAGTAGTGGCGCGCTTAGTGCACTGCGCTCAGAACTTCGCGACCCATATTCGATTCCCGCTCAGTCACCAACACCACTGACCATTATCATCTGCCGTCCCAGCCTTCACCGATGCTCGTTAACAGTACTTTCCCCAATAGACTGTTAAAGCTATACAGGCGATATTTGTCTTTTTTGTGTCTCCACGTGTGTCTATTTGTGCATCTGTGTGTCTGTGTGCGTTGGTATGCGAGTGTGTGTGTTTATGTTTGTTTGAGTTTGTTTCTGTTTTTAGAGAGTTTATGTGCATTTCTCTGTGTGCTGATGTGTGTCTCTGTGAGTGAATCATGACGCTAGCATTTGATCGAGTGTGATTGGAAGGCATTAGCCACATCAGCTCAACAATAATGGTAAGAGGCTGCTAGACCAGTCTTACTGCCTGCCAGTGCTCCTGTAATTACAAGCATGCTATTCCTTTTCTGGTGCATCCACACAATTTAATTGATACACATCGAGTCCATGCAAGAACATCTGCTAGACTACATAGCGATGGGACAGTGTATGCGGGTCCAAGTCCTTGACACCAGGACCTGTCATGGAGCTGATCTGGTCCCTGACCGTCGCCTTTGCATCTCCAACATGCACATGCCATTGATCTACTGGGAGGGTAGGCATCCACCTAGGACCCCGTTAAAACCCACAATAGCCTGGTCTCGAACAGCTGATGAAAGTGGCAAGTCAGAAATTTAATCATCGCTTGCAGCTGGGGTTGGCAATTCCTTCCCCTCCCTCCTGATATCGAGGGAAAGTGGGTGAGGCTTCGGGCAGTGGTTCATACAGCTGCTGTGGCTATAATTAGGTCTACCCAGCACAGACCTTCCCATCTCAGCCACCTAGGTTTGATCCCTCATCATGCACATCATCAGTTATAAGTGGTGTCTGTTTGTCCCTGGACTTTTCCTTGTTCAAATTGGCCTTAAATGAGTGTCTGGTGCAGTGTGTAAGAAATCAACACTGGGTGCGATGTTGACCACACCATCTCCCTCGTATGCCTTAACCAGCCTTAAATATATGCTGGCTGATGGCAATCTCGAGACCGGTAAGAAAGGCGGTGTCAGAAAGACGGAACCCCAAAGCGTTTTGGGTGTACAGCTTTAGGTGTGAAAACCTGGAGAGAAAAAAAACTGTTGATGTTTCAGTAAAGTGAAGGAACAAGAAGTTCAGGTGGACAGAGACTTATGTTGAACAGATAGTTTTCTAAATGTAACCAGGAGGGCTATTAAACCAAGCCTGATATCATGGAAGGTGGAGTAGCTTCATCGTGGAAGTCACGGTTACCTAGTAATGCAAATTAGCACGGTTGGTCTACGTGCGGTGCACGAAAAAAGTGCAACATACATAGCACGGTTGACTACGTACGGTGCGAAAGAAGTTCAACATATTATGAGACCTCCTTTGTCAGTAACAAGATATAGGAATAGGTTTTACCCTTTTAACTGGCACAAAAACTGACACCTTTATTCAAGGCATCATGTTTGCAATAACCACAACACAAGCAGTCAAAATGCAAACAAAAAAGACAACTCTGATAATAATATGCAGTGCAGTCTTTTTGTTTGCATTTTGACTGCTTGTGTTGTGGTTATTGCAAACATGATGCCTTGAACAAAGGTGTCAGTTTTTGTGCCAGTTAAAAGGGTAAAACCTATTCCTAAGTTCAACATACATACATAAAGCGGGATGAGCGAGCAGAGGCAGAGCAGCTCCCACCCGCTCCCCCGCATGGTCTGCGAGGGAGGCTGAGACCCCCCCCCCCACCATGGTGTGTCTGTGCAGAGCCAGCTGGTGAGCTCACAGCTGCGGCGAGCCGAGCAGGAGCTGAGTGCGTGCCAGCAGCGGGTCGCGGTGCTCGCACGCGAGAACGGCGAGCTGCACGCCGCCGTCGCCACCGCCAAGCGCCGCGTCGCCGAGCACGAGTGCCAGGTAGCGGGGACGTAGGGCGGGGACGTGGGGCGGGGAGCGCCAAGTACCGGGAAGCGGCACGGGGGCACCAGTGCCAGGTCACGGCGGTGGGGATACAGGGCGGGAGCACAAGTGCTAGGTATTGGGGCCCGGGATGCGGATCTACCATCGCCGAGAACCCGTTGGGACTCGAATGCAGAGTGGAGGAGGGTCGGGGTAGGAGGTGGCCACGTGTGGTGTGCGTGGTTGAATGCGGGCAGCCGCGTGTGATTAAAAAGTTCAACTTCTTTCGCACTGCATGTCGTCAACCGTGCTAATCGGAGGTGCTGGGAAATAATAATTGCATTTCTAAAGTGCCTTTTGTCATGGATCTCAAAGCGCTGTACAAGACACAGCAGACACTCGGCATAAAAATTACTCGTGAAACTAACAACCATAAAAATGGATAAATTATCAAATGAATGCTAAAAGACGCTTGCTGAATTGACTAAAAGTTGAAGACGTGTGTGAATACGACTTAAGATGAGTTTTGTTTCAAATGTCCATGGACTCCAATATCCTCACATCTCATGGGAGAGAGAGAGAGAGACGGGTCCAGAGTCTGGGTCCTGCTATGCAGGAAGGAGCTCAGTCTCCCATCGACCCAGACTCGGGCTGGGAACGCAGAAAAGATCTCTGCATGCCCAGATATTTAGAGACCTTGAGCCGAAGTGGGTACAGCATATTTTGATTTAAAGCTTTCGTGACTGCAGTAATTCATATTCTTAGTTTTTTCGGTAAAGTCACGTTGAAGAGAAACAACAAAATAACAAAATATATATATATATTTTGTTATTTTGTAACAAAATATATATATTTTGTTATTTTGTAACAAAATATATATATATATTTTGTTATTTTGTTGTTTCTCTTCAACGTGACTTTACCGAAAAAACTAAGAATATGGGTACAGCATGTTTCTGATGATGGGGCGCCATGGTGGTGGGATGTTAACTACCTCGCCTGGTATATAGGAGGTCATGGGTTCGATGCCAACCCTGACGCCTGTTATGTATTAGTCACGTGGATTCGTTTCCGGGTACTCTGGTTTTCCCCTCCACATTTAGAAACATGCGTTTAGAGTTTTCGGCTGCTATGAATGTCCACGTGATAAGCCACTTTGTTGAGCTATCATTTGTGGGCCAGGTCGCTTCTGAAAAAAGAGCTTTGTGGGCCTTTACCTGGTAAAATTTAAAAAAACGTTGAAGAGTTTTTAATAGTTAAATGTAGGCTGGGGCAATGTGGTTCAGAGCTTTTAAGTTGGCAATGGTATGTGAAACTGGAAGCCGGTGCAGGGAGGCCAATACTGTGGGGGGAGTTGCGATCTCTGGAAGTGGTTCTGGTCAACTCCCTAGCAGCCGCATTCCCACGCACCTCCTGAGCCACGCCAGAGAGCCAAGACATCGCGATTGTCGATTTAGAGATGAAAGGAAGCCGTGGACCAGCTTGTCTGCATCTGACGCAGGGACAAGGGATCGGATGTGGGAGATGTTCGTAAGATGGAAAAACAAGTTCTTTGTGATCTTTTTAACACGAGAATCACAGATGACCGCTAGATTTTTGACCTCCTGTGCTGAACGACCATCAGTCGTAACGTTGAACGGTGCAGCTTTTTGAAGTTGATCGAGTAACCCAAACAGCATCATCTCCGAATTAACGCCATACAACTTAAAGGTGGGACCTTTTTTGCCAGTATCAAAGTATAACAAAAATAAGAATAGCTATAAAATTCTCACGACGTTTCGACTGCAACACAAGCAATCATCATCAGGTGTGAAAACCACAGCTGTTTTATATTTGTATTATTTTATTGTTTCCCTTCTCGTGACTTTACCGAAAGACCCAAGAATATGAATCCCTGCAGTCACGAAAGCTTTAAATAAAAAAAAATAAGAATAGCTGTTACCCTTTCTGGCAATTAAACAGGTGTTAAGATTTTGATTTAAAGCTTTCGTGACTGCAGGGATTCATATTCTTGGTTCTTTCGGTAAAGTCACGTAGAAGGGAAACAATACAATAATAAAAATACATAAAAATAAAATTCTCACGACGTTTCGACTGCTGTGGTTTTCACACCTGATGATGATTGCTTGTGTTGCAGTCGAAACGTCGTGAGAATTTTATTGTTTTATATTTTTATCATTTGATTGTTTCTCTTCTACGTGACTTTATCGAAAGAACCAAGAATAGGTGTTAAGATGTTCAAACACTAACTAGAAAGCTTTTGCAAGGAATCTTATATTTTTTACAACTGAATGGTGTTTTGTTGCAATCAACTTTGATGGAAGCCAGCGACAAAGCGAGGATGGAGGCAGATAAAAAGGAGAGCGGACTCGAGCGTGCAAGTACATTTTGGTGCCGTCCGTATGACAATGGAAGAGTGTAGTGTGGTGGTGTGCGGCGGTGGGAGTGCTTGCGGTGTAGGGAGCGGTGATGAACATCGTTGTGTCTTCCGTTGTCGTGCCGACGGCGGCAGCGTAAGGAGCAGGCGATGTCAGCGCGGCTCCGTGATGCCGATCACCTGGCGGCCGTGGCCGAGCTCCGGCAGAGAATCGCAGAGCTGGAGATCCAGGTGAGATGCGCTTGGCACCACGGTCGGCACCGCCGGTGTCCACCGCACCCTCGTCGTAACGTCAATCCGAGCCACCACAAGCCTCATCACAATTGTAGCGACCGCAGTCGGCACCACCCACCATCATCGTCACAATCGCGAATCACATTCGCAACCACAACAGCAGTCATCAATTCCCACTGCAGTCATCACTCGCCATATTTATCATCGTCGCCACAATCGCAACCACCACAGTCAAGTGGCCACAACAATGTTCACCGTCACCACAATCGTCGTAAAAATATTCGCAATTTACGACCAATCACCGCAGTCATCGCCACTGTAATCGGCCAAATTAATATCACCACAACCATGCCCACCCTGCCCAATGCTTTGCCGCCATCGGCAGCATCGCCGCCACCGCCGGCACCCTTGTCATGCTTGCACAGCTTCGCTCGCCTTTTGTGGTGACTCGTGAGAACGGTGCGTCTGGTGGATGGCAGCGTTACACCGCGCTCGCCGCTTTACCAGTGCGCACGGAGTCGGTGAATATCCGATCATTCTTACCGGCGTCCTGTGCCGAAGACAATTTTTACTCGCATCAAAACTCATTTCATTAGAACTGCTTTTTGTGTTTAGTATGTTTAGCGTGGTTCGCTACGTATGGTGTGAAATAGTTCCTACATACATTACAAGATGCAAATCTTTGTGATGTCGTCTTCCTAGCTAGTGCATGCAACTAAGCTCATCCATGTCATCTCTGCAAAATAGATCCTTGAAATAATTATAATTTTAAATGTTTTTATTTGTTTACCAGGTAAGGCCCACTGAGCTTATATAGCTATATAGCGACCTGACCTAAATGTGGAGGGGAAAATCCTACAACCCGGAGAAAAATCCATACGACAACAAGGAGAACATAAATTACAAATATACAGTAGGTGTCAGGGTTGGGATCGTACCCACGACATCCTGTACACCAGGCGAGGTAGTTAACATCTCGCCACCGTGGTGCCCTATCTTTGCACCTCAGTTGATTCTCCGTTGGTTCAATGAACGACATTGGTGTATTAAGTTTGTGACAGCGATATTAATGATTTTGATGATGGCATTGTGCTTCCAGCACGAGGAGGGTCAGCTGACGGGTCAGCTGACGCGTACGGACACGCGGCAGCACATCCGGGACCTCACCGAGCAAATCGCAGAGCTGCAGGAAGAGGTGCCACCCCTCCCCCCCCCCCCCAACCGCACTCGACACCGGTGCTGCACATGTGCAGCATGTGCAGCATACGCAACACACAGTAACGCTCGCTCACATACACTCAGGCACGCACACATGGAGCAACGCATGCAGCATGCACGCCTCGCACACAGAAGCTCGCTCACATACACTCATGTAGCAGACGCAGCACATACAGTATACACTGTGCATACAGTACACGGAGAATACTCCCTTACATATGCTCGGGCACACACATGAGATGCTTGCTCACAGGCAGTCATTCACACACTCAGCACGTGGAGCATACATACACACGCTCGCTCACACGCCCAAGCGCACACACACGCAGGACGTATGCAGTACGCGTGTAGCACACTTGCACGGTTGCTCGTTCACGCGCACGCACGTACAAGCACATTTGTTTGTGCCCATAATTGCACACAAGCTTGGTCACACACACATTTGCAAAAGCTTGCTCGCTACATATGAAAAAGCCCTCCTGTGTGTACTATCTGCATTTTCAGGGATTGTGGCGGAAAGTTCTGTAGCGAGCACCGTGTTAAGACTGGAAGTGTGCATGATGTTGCCAGCTCTATGCCCGGCCACCTTTGTCTGCCAAGTCCTGATGTTTATACATCCAACCGGGCACTCATTTCAGGCCGAGTTGACCTAGAGGCGGTCCTGGAAAGGCTTCTATACCACTTGAATCAAGTCCAGGTTCCTGGGTTTATAGGTTCATCGATCAATTATCCGGCTGTACAGTACTACGGTAAGAGCCACGAATATCAGTAAGAATGCGATAAGTTTAAATTCTGTTTGTGGGCCGATTGGGCCTATAATCTTTATGGGGGTCGTTAAATGAGTAACACTTAACAGGGAAGTCAACGCTGGTTGTTTTCTTAAATGAGGAATGTGGAATTTCCACCGCTGGTTCAGGCCCTTCAACGGACACGCGCGCCGCTCCGTGCTGCTGTGTGGCGCTCCGGCACCGGGCCGGCCGATGAGTACGACGTGAAGCAAGAGGCAAAGCTGTCCCGCCATTTACACTTGCCGCCGTGTTGGCTTTGCGCGCGCGCCAGGTGCAGAGGCTGAGGGGCGGACAGCCCGGTGTCACGGCGCAGGCCCTCGATCGGATCCACATCAGCGCCCACGACGACGACGACGACGATGACGATGACGACGAAGACGATGATTATGAAATTGACGAAGAAAGAAGAAAAATGACAAAGCTCGCAAGCCATAGTTCGCCAGACGCAGGAGCCGATGACGATGACGACGACGACGATGACGACGACAACTACGTTCACGACGCCGGAAACGGCAGTGAAAATTTTGCAACTTGGAGAAATGTGAACTCCAGCGAGAGCGACGCTGACGACGACTGCGTGGTGGAGGGTGGCAGTGAGCTGAAGCGGTGCAAGAAGACTTCGAGCGCATTCCGTGGACTCGCTGGCGAGGGTGGCCCCAGCGATGGCGGCGTCATGCCCGTGGGGCAATGCACCAAAGTCGGTGGCTCGGAGTGCGACGGCGACGACGACGCCGACGACGCGGCCCTCGTGGATCGGCTGAAGAGGCGCAGCCGCAGCACCGCCGTGTGACGACGACTCAGTGAGCCGGTGGTGGTGGTGGGCGCTGTTCGCCGGCGCGATTCGCGGTGACCCCAGCGGTGCGTCGTTGTTGCTGTCCGCTGGGGAGGACATTAAAAGACTCCCTCCCCCCCATCTTGACGGTGTCTGAGAGCGGGCGATTTGTGCGCCGATTGTTGAAACTGCCCGCAACTTTGAAAAACCGTCCCCTCTTCACGTAACTATGACGTAGTGGGGTCACGCAGTGGGCCACCCCCTTGAGTTTTTGGAGAGCCTCTGGTTAAATCGAATCGGGTTTCCATCACTCTGCACTTAAAAGGTCGGTACAGTGAGTCTATTGAACGGAGGGACTCTGTCCCAGAGCATGGGACTCTAGGGCAAGGATCGGTTTGTACCGGACTACGAGGGACTGCGAGAGAGCGAAGACACGGACTCCGCGGCACAAAGATATCCATGTGGAAACTTGGGGGGGTCTGCGTGTCTGCAGCAACCAGCGCCTAATCGGGCTGATGATAAAGCCCCATCTCGTGCGCATGGATACCGCGCACCTCTGTATCCGGGTCCCATATCCGCAGCGGTTCATTGGAGTGCCTGTTTACCGGTGCGTGTACCAACTTTGCGTAAACACAACCGTCAGGATACACTACAGTTGATTTGTTTTATACTTTTTTCTAAAATGGTATATAGACATGCATTTACACACACACACGTGCTTTGAGACTTCCGGTGGGGGAGGGGGGGGAGGTCACAGCTGTTCTTCCTCGTAGCCAGGGATGTCGGTGGTGCCTACTGCCCAGGAAAAACTGCCAGCGTCTCATCGGTAAAGGCCTCCAGGCCACAGACAAGACGCGTGGTTGTCGTAATTTTAGCATCGTCCAGTCAACCTGGCGCCCCCACTTGCACCTTCCCACCTTTGCTCATCGGCTCGTCTGATTTTTATCCGCGACTTTGATTCGATTTATTTTTAATTTTCACGTAAAAAAAGTGGTAGAATTTTGAAAGACGCTGACATTTTTTTTTAAAGTGAAACTTCGGCTGCATTTGATTTTCTTCTCGAGCCTTCTCCATCTCCTTAATGATTTGATCCCCATCAAATTCGTACATTATTTTATTTAGTCTTCAAGTAACATTTACTGAGAGTCTTCTGTTTTAAATTAATAATTTAACTCTGTGAGTGTAGCGTTAGTTCGATTGTAGCTCAGTGTTTTTGCGCCACGGTGGTTGGCACGCGCTCACTCGCCTCTACGTGTGCATCTGCCCGTGGTGTCTCGTTTGTTTCTGCGTTACATTTTTGTTAACTTTTGTGAATTCACAACGGCAATAGGTTTTTTGTCTTTCTTTTTTTTCTTAAACCGTCAACTTGTAAATAACTTATTTTAATTGTACTTACAATAAACGAATGTTCGCCTCTATCACGATGTCCGCTTACAAATGCGCGTGTTGACGTACATGAGGTACGTGAGTCGTCGATGTCGCGAGTGCAGCGCACGTGATGTTTTGAGGCTTTGTAATCACCGGCCCGTGGGGACGCGGCCGCTGGTGTGGCTAGGGCCACGACAGGCTTCAGGCCTCGACGAGTCACGGTTTATTCAAATCCTGCCTCCGAGATGCCCACCAGCTAATGCCATCGCGAACCGTGAGGGAATCGGCTGGCCTTGTGCCCGGCTGGGGGCTTGCCATAGCTAAGCGTTATTCACATGTCGAGCACGGTTGGCGACGTACGGTGCGAAATAAGTTCATCATACATACATACAAAGCTGTTAGATCTTAAAAGTAATAATGGTTTCAATCTAGATTTGAAGTTTTCGTGACTGCAGGGATCCATACTCTGTTTTTTTCGGTAAAGTCACGTGGGTAGAAAATTTAATAAATACAATCACAACGTTTCGATTGTAACACAAGCAATCGTCAAGTGGGAAAACCACAGCAAGAATTTGTTTTGCTGAAGTGGGAGAGAGAGTTGCTGTGGTAAGAGGTTATATAGGTAAGAAAGGGGGAGGAGCAAGGGGGGAGAGGGAGGGGTGGGGGAGGGGGAAGTGGGTGGAGCTGGGAGTGATGTTGCTGAACAAATATTGGTAACCACTAGGTTAAGCTGTGTGTGGGAAATTTAAACCAACAATGAATGCCGTGCAAATCTGCTGGCCTTACTGCCGGATTTGAGTGGCCGCAGATGGCAAATTCAGTTTACACAGCGAGAGACGTAACCCGTTCAGTTGTGGGGGTTTGACCTCTGCGAGCAGAGCGACCGACGGCAGAGATGGGACGGAGTGAACAGCGGCGAGCGGGCGCGAGAAGGGGCCTTGGGTGTGGCCCACTCGCCAGGCCACTTGCTCTGGTGCTTCCCGTGTGGCACATCCACGGCTCTGCCGTTCTCTCGCAGAGACCCTCTGTTGGTGTTGACCCATTTTTGGTGGATCTCTTGACGATACTGCCCAGTCTGTTCCATTATCTGAGATGTGAATCCTTATATATGTACACGAAGTTCAACCACCGGCACTGCAGGTCACAACACCGCTCTTTCTGCCTCTTCGCTCGCACTCCTCCACTGTGGAATCTTCTCTCCCATCATCGTCTCTTTTTACACAAGCTCCTATAAGAACGCACTGTATGTTGAACTTCTTTCGCACCGTACGTAGCCAACCGTGCTCATCGGAAGTGTGGGGGAAGGACAACAGATTTAACACAAAAGAAGCTGTTCTGAAGACATTAGTTTTCAGTCTAGATTTAAAAGTGCATAGCTCCAATGGCTTCCTAATATCGGAAGGAAGTGCCTTCCAGGCGGCCGCTGAAGTGCATCTGAAAGCGCGCGATGCGGTTACCACTGTGTTTGTTCGATGGTTAGCCATAGGGTGCCGTTGCGAGCATGACCGGAGTTAAAGTGATGGTTTACACTCTTTGACGAGATCAGCAAGGTATTGTGGTTCATTTGTGGCAAGCAAAATGGAGCACGCTTGGTGGAGATATAGCTTTCCTAAAGAAGCTGCGGAAAATGTATACTTGCGCCAAGCTTAAAATAGCTAACGATAAAAACAATACCAACATTAGAAGATGTTTCGCCGTGAGTGAGAATCCCCACGAGTCCGGGAAATATGAGTATGTGGAGACAGCATACATACAAGTACAGCATAAATTTTCGCTTGTGACCCTTGGACTACACCCATTTAAAACCTTTAAAACAGCCTGCCTCAGCAGCTTTCCCATGCTTCTCCTGATGACGATCGCTTGCGCTGCGATCGAAACGTCGTCGTTTTTTTGTTATTTTATTTGAACCTATCTACGTGACTTTACCGAAAGACCCAAGAATAAGTACAGCAAATATACAAGTACACCATACATACAAGTAATGTATAGCATACACATACGAGCTGAGATGTCACGCGGCTGCCGTCGATGGCACGCGCGTGTGCAACAGCTGCACGTTGCGGCCTCGATGGAAATCTGTGCATGCCGCGTCCTTACAAGAGATTGCGTTCCAGACGTGGCAACCGGTTGCCGTGGTCTGCTTTCATTCATTAACAGACTGTTGGGGCAAGTGCTGTTCGCGAGCACCTCATGAAGGCCGGGATGACACACGGAGGGGGTGGGTGGCCAGCAACCACGCTGCCTTTGTCTCCCTCGTGGCGATGTTTACTCACCGCACCGGGTACTCATTTGAGGCCGAGTCGACCTAGGAGAGGCCTAGGACAGGTCCAGATAATCGTCACTGGGGTCGCCAGGTTCGTAGTGCAGCGCGCTCACTGTTATACTACCGCTCCCCACTCACGAACAAAGATGCCCCCGTATAGCCTTAACAGACATAACAGACACGATGGTCGCTGTCTCACGCGCGCACACACAGGCGGCTCCTAAACGCTGGAGGTCGTGTGGGCGTCCACAAAAAAAAAAGGATAACTTTGGTTCTGGCCTGACAACTTCACGTCACCTAAGAGCTTGCGGAGGAGCTGCGTTCGTAAACCATACCGCGATGTGCTCGAGAGTATTTACAAAAGACGATCGAGTAGCATTAAAAATGGGGCATAATTGAAAGAAAAAAAACACGTATGTAGAACTTCTTTCGCGCCGTACGTTAGCCAACCGTGGCGAATCGGAGGTGCATAATCAGCCCCAGATTCAATTGGAACGGTGACAATTCAATCCAGAAATACAGGTGTGTGTGTGTGTGCGCACGTGTGTTAAACGCAGTTCAGAAACACACCGTCAAAGAATAGAATGTGAACCCTTGTTGAGGACTCGGTGCGATGGTTTTTTTACAAGGCCGGAGGGCCCTCCGGTGCTGAGGCATCGATGGACATGGGTGGCCACTGCGCTCCACCAGCCGCCACGGCACACGACTTCCGATGGACGTTCCAACACCAAACTGGAGGTCACCCGGCAGAGGTCACCTGTGAGCCGTACAACTCTTGATGGATGGGACCTGAGGATCGGGGCTCCTCTCGACTGTTATTTCTGAACCCGCAACAAAACCGCTGAACCGCCGAGCAATTTTTCTCGCGCGACCCACCCTGCAGTCGAAAACGCCGTCCCTTGTTTCGTGACGAAAAACAAAATCGCCGGCAACGGTTCCCCCTAGCGGAACGCTTCCCGCGCGCGACCTTGTGGAGCCGTCCAATTCGGCCGTAGGTCGGTGGCGTCGTGACCGCCTTCAGCTACAACCCGTCGGCGGTATTGGTGCCACGTGTCATTGGGGCGACGCGGTCGCTTTGACCGTCGCTTTAAATGTCACGCGGTGATTCGTAGGCACGGAGCAGACGACGACGATGCCCTCGCATCCTCCTGCGGTTAGCTGGCAATTATTTTTTTAAACTACACGTATTCCTAAAAATGCAATTCTCGTGGCTTAAATGGGATTGTTGTTGTTGTTTTCCTCTTCTTTAAATGTTCTGCGAGACGGCAAGACCGGCGAGCCGCTGGGTGCGCTCTTAACAGCCCACGCTGCCGCACGCGGATGAACTGGCGCGCAAGTGTCCATCGATCATTAAACCCCCGGGCACACGGCACGGGGGATGGAGCGATGCGTGCACGTGGGTGACTTCCTGCAGCCCGTGTTGTTACGAGGAACGGGGGTGATGCACCAGCTCCACTCGTGCCCTTCCTCCGTGTGAATGAGCGGTGACTCAGGCTGCTCGCTGGAAGGCGACAGCTGTTCGCAGCGCTCCAGCCGTTTTGCCACTTCGCTGTTTTATTGCTCGCGGATTTCAGGTTCAGGGTTCACCTTGGTACACAACATTGCCTCGGCAACGGGCCGCCCTCTTTCCTCCGCGTTACTCCGGATGAGCGGTTTCCACCGATACAGGTGGGCGTGTTCCGCCCGGCCGATCCACGTTCACCGCTATTATCGATTAGCACGGTCGGCTACGTACGGTGCGAAGGAAGTTCTACATTCGTACAAAGATGCTCCGTCCAGATGAGTGTGGCCCTGCTTATCGCGTGGGTGTGTCGCTTTGTTACAGCTCTCGAAAGCAAATACTCGTCATACCATCTTGGGATACACTGCTTGTCTGTGGCATGTGTTCTGTAAACAAATCTGTGGTATAAAATAAATAAAATCACGACGTTTCGGGCGCAACGCAAGTGCCCGTGTCTACAGCCTCGTGTCACAAGCAGCCTCCTTTTGCCCACTTCAGCAAATTGTTTCTTGCTGTGGGTACTTCCACCTGATGAGGGGCACGTGTGTTGAGCCCGAAACGTCGTGATTTTATTTATTTTATTTTATACCCACGTGACTTTACCGAAAGAACCAAAGAGTGGATTCCTGCAGTCACGAAAACTTCAAATCGAGATTAAATCTGTGTGGGTTTTTTTTTCATGTTAAGGCCGTTTAATAAAGTGGGAGAAATGCCGAGGCTTAGGAGTTTATGTAAGTGTGGACGTCAGGGACTGGAACGTGAGATTGTCTCACGTCCCAGTCTCTGACGTCTACACTTTAGTAAAAAAAAAAATAGCTGTGATTTTCACACGTGATGATGATTGCTTGTGTTGCAATCGAAACGTCGTGATTTTTTATTTTTATATTTTATTTTATTTTTATTTTCTTTACCGACGTGACTTTACGGAAAGAACCAAGAGTACGGCTCCTCTTGTTCGTCTGGTTACCGACCCCTGTCCTCTACCAATGACCTGGAGCACCCAGTGAATATCGGGGATTTGTGTTACACGTTGGCTTTCAGCCCCAGATTCATTTCGAATGTTTAAACAACAACAACAAAAACACCTGCTGATAATTCAATCCAGGAATACAGATGTGTGTATGTGAAACGCAGCGAACAAACACACTGTCAGAGAACGCAACGTGAACCCTTGTTAAGGACTGAATGGGATTGTTTCTAAAAGTCCAAGGAGTCTCCGGTGTTGAGGCAACGGTGCACACTGGTGGCCACTGTGCTCCCACCAGCTGTCACGACGCGACTTCTGA